GAAGGAAATTTTAAAATTCTATCTATCTTTAGTAAAATAAAATTGATAATTTTCTCATCAGCAGTCAGTGAGTTTAATAATAAAATTACCTCATAGACATACGATAAAATTACTTGATAACAAAATACTTAATAACAAAATTACTTAACAATAAAATTGCCTGATAAAATTTGCTGTTAATGAGGTTGATGATTTTCCTACCAGCAGTCAGTGAGTTGGTAAATGAACCGTGCCAATTTGTCCCTGGAGTTTTCATTGCCTATTTGACTGCACAATGACGTGAGGAGAGCGTAAGAAGCGGAAGTGCAGGTACGAGAGCTCTTCAGGTGGCAAAACGCCGAGTCCATTAAGCCCGACGCTGACGAAACGTCCGCGTTGATTTTCAGACACTCCACGACGCACGAACAAAGATGGGAATTTGCGAGTTCCTTTGCTGCCTCGGGGATTGCATTCAGTCGCGACGACACCAGCAAAGATTCAGGACTCGTCGAGCCCAAATGAACCACCCCTAATCGCGACACCGTTGCAGGACTCGCGTCGTCGAGCTTGTGAGTTTCGAAGATGAACCTGTTTGAGAAATTCGTGAGAACGAATATTATAAAGTACTGTCAATTCATGAAATTAACTGCATTTTATTTCTGAATTCTTTTTGTCAATTTACGCTATGGAATTCGAGTGCGATTTTTTTCAATTTGAAAAAATTTTTTATTGAATTTTTATTTATATTTATTTATAGAAAGCATGGCTCGTGTCTTCATCTTCCAACGAAGCTCTCTTTCGTGAGGTTTCACACGTTTATTTTTAGATTTTCAAAAAGTAACAAATTATGGAAGAACTATTAAATGACGTGGAAAATATATTTAGACAAAGTCAATTAATAAGTACCTTCCGTACTTTATCGTGCCTATATCTGTTGATTAATAGTTTGATCAACAATTTTAATTCTATAGGTTCGACCATATTTTTGGATGTAATATTAAAAACTATTAAAACAAATAAAACTATTCTTCGTGCGTTCCATGAATCACGATTTTACCTTCATACAAGTATTGTTTCTGATATTGATGACTTCGTTAAGATTGAATAATCTCTGAAATACTAAGCGTGAATAAGTGACAGAGGAACAGAACTTTACTTTGTCCTTGGGCCGAGTTTCACACCCACGCCGTTCGGCAAAGTCAGTAATCGATTGTCGTCTAGAGCAGAGTTTAGAGCCTCCGCCCAATCTGGTTCTACGTCGCCGTTCAAAATAATCCAAGTCGTAGAATCCCCGGCCGATACAATTGCGCTGGATAACAGACCTTCCTTCCATTCTCTGAAATACATATAAAACAATATATTCAAATATCGAATTCGAAGAATTTCAATCAGAAATCAAAATACTTTCAACTAAATTAAAAGGAACCATTTCAAGTCTAGTATAAAGAGCAATTCATGCAAATTTATCTGAGAATATATAATTCTTACATTAAAGTATAATATACATATATATACATATTATAATATATAATATAATATAATTACATTAAAGTAATATGCATATATATACATATAATATATAATATAATATATTACATTAAAGTAATATACATATATATACATATTATAATATATAATATAATATAATTACATTAAAGTAATATACATATATATACATATAATATATAATATAATATATTACATTAAAGTAATATACATATATATACATATTATAATATATAATATAATATAATTACATTAAAGTAATATACATATATATACATATAATATATAATATAATATATTACATTAAAGTAATATACATATATATACATATTATAATATATAATATAATATAAATGACTATACATGATCAAAAATATGTGTATATTTATGCACTAAATTACTTACATTATAAAATATGGAAAAATAAAGTTAATGATTGTGTTGCTATCGTAATTTAAAATTCTTATTTTGTAAGGAAAAGTATATTTTAAGTATGACAAGTTAAAATGAATAAAATGTTTTCAAGATTGCATTTTGCACGAGATTGCATTTTTCGTAAGATACGTATATAAATAAAAGATTGTGTCCTTTGTTATATTGCAAACGTTTTCCTTTTCTAATTTTTCTAATAATTTCTTTATTATATTACAAACAATTTTTCTCATTTCTCTGATGTACGTTCCATTTTAATCGGTCGGTAGTTCTAACGTTACCTGGTCTGTGGATCGACACGACCCAAAAGCCTCGATTTCGGCATCGCCCCGGGAAATACGTGAAACTGAACGATCGTTTCGCCAATTTTCGTTAGCGCATCGCACAGAAGCTTCCTGATGGTGGTTTTACCGCACCCCGGTGGCCCGACAATCGCCACTCCAGTTCTGCTTTTCAACTGGTCGTTCAGCTGAATACATCTGTTCGCCATTTCTTTGCCCAGCTCTTGTTCAGCACAGAGTTCGAGCAGAGCGTCTTGTAGATCTTGCCTTTCGATCAACGTGGACAGCGACGGGTCCGCTCTTGGGAAAACATCCTCCAGCAGAGAGAGGAATCGCGGAGTGTCTTCCTCTGTCAGTTTCGGTAACGTCGATGCCCTGATCGCAGCCACTAGTCTACCACGGGATATATTCGCGCATTAAAAGAATGTAAAATACACTTGTCACTTAAATAACACGAATTATAAAAATCAATTCAATACTAATAATAATAAATTAAATTAAATACGAATGAATTACAATAACAAATTAATAATAATAAATTAAATCAATACGAATAAATTGCAATAATAAATTAAATTAATACGTATTATAAAAATTTATATTGTGGGAGAATTTGCAATTTTTATGGGGCAAACAATGTTCGCATATGACAAATAATTAATTAGAAATACTTGTTGTTAGTATAGTATAAAGTTCGAGTAGTAATATGAAGTAGTAATATGAAGGTATGTTATGCCAACAATAAATAGTATGAAGTAAGTATCAGTAAAAATTTTAATTGTAAAAATTCTCGAAACAAGTTGATAAATTGTCTCGGATATAAACTCGTGCAAAATTTCGTCAGTTCAACCGATGAAAGAGCAACGTGATATCTCTACTTCTTTTACAATTTCGTGAAATTTAAAGAAATTGACGCAGTTGCGTGTCAACTTGTGATCGACGATCAATTTCTCGCAACGAATTGAGAAAATTCAAGGGGACATTAAAACACAAGGAATGATGGATTAATGACCGACTTTCTAAAATATAACAGTCACGAGATGACACGATCTCTAGATTAAAATGTCTAGGCTAAATGGAAAGTAAATAAACTAGATGGAACCTGCTAGTTTCGTCCAAATCAGCTTTCGCTGGGATGGCGTTGAGCACGGACCTAAGCGCCCTTAGGCCCCAGTCGTAGTGCGGCTGATTCGACAGCAGTATCTCCGCGATGTCCAGCGTTTCCACCAGCTGTTTAGCCAGTGTCGCCGCGTCCAGGAATCCAGCACATTCTAGCAACGCTCTCACAATGTCTGACCTGTCCGGATGCGCCATACCAACGGGTCTGAACAACCGCGCCAGAGAATCCGGCAGCTTGCGACGCCCGCCGTACTCGGAGCCAGCGGGATTCATCGTGATGAAGACGCAACAGTGCCGATCCAGATTCACTTTCTGATCGCCCAACTGGACCTCGGCGGAGCCATCGCGTACTGCTTCCTGCAACGGTCTGACGAGCATCGCCACCGCGCTCAGTGTTTCCTCTTCGAGGCGATTGAACTCGTCGAAACAACCCCACGCACCGGCCTGGGCCAAGCCGCCTAGGATACGTCGCATGCTACCGGCGTCCATTCCTGGTAATTACATGAAACACGTGTGACGAATCGTGTGAATAGAAATGTAAATTACAACGGGGGGGGGGGGGGAATAAAGGAGAAAATTATGATAAAAAGGAAATATAGTATGAGAAAAATATATTATAATAAAATTAGAATTTTGAATTGTTTATTTTGGTATATTTTGGTTAATAGTTTTTGGTATATTTTGGTTAATTGTTTTTGGTATATTTTAAGTATAACCCAGGTAAAATAATTAATAAATTTATTAATAATTTGTCAATAATTTCTATCCATGAATATCGTACCGACAAAAAGAAAGCGACGATTTATTGTACACGATTTGGTCACTCGTTATGGTCCGCAATCAAGTTGCCAGAGCAAGTGGTCAAAGCACGAGATCTCTATTTTTATAGTTTTGAGTCTGTATATAGTTCTTTTTTTTTTTTTTCAAAGAGAAGAAACTTGAATTTATCTTCCTCTTTTTTTTCTTACATCTTGCCACGAGTGGAAACATTGCAAATTTATTATAGAAAATTGTATAACATGAAACGTCCTCTTCTTTTTCTTACACCTTGTCGCGAGTGGAAAAGTTGTACGATAAGAAATTTTTTTCATGGCCAAATCGACCTTGGTTCTTAAAGAATGACGACTGTCCTTTGCAACGACCCCTTAAAACTTGCCGTACGATTTTTTCTTCGTCATTTTATTAAACTTTGAGTATTAGATAGAAACGATAAAAATTCGAGCAATCAATGTTGAAAATTCAGTGAGAAGAAAGAATCGTACAATAAATTTTATGGGATGGTTTGTTTCACTCTACAAAACCGTGGTAGATTTCGTTACGAGAAAGAAATTCTTCAGCGGTTTCAGAGTCGTTTGAAGTTTCGCAATTTGTAAGCCTTATCTCATGATTTCACCGAAGCAATTACGCTCTCAGAAGTTATTGTGCCACGCGTAACGACTGTTAATTGTTGTGAAAATCTGTGTTACTGGCATTGTTAACAATGATCCTCTTAATTAAGAGAATGGGGAAATGGTGCATTGAGTAATTGAGAGAGAGAGAGAGAGAGAGAGTTAAAGCAGAATAATTAAGATTCTTGGTAGTATTCTGTGTTCTCCAGAATTGTTTAGCACCCGCGTTGAACATTTTTCCCACAAATTTACTGTTAAAAGCATCTATTATCATCGCGTCGTAGAATCCACTCCTAATCACCTAAACTTAGTTACTATACTCACGAAATTGCATTTCGAAAACGATCTTTTCTAGCTGAGTATCTGAACGTATGAACAATGTAATTTCCCTTAAACAGCTTGCAGATAGCGTATTTTAATTTCAAATCAAACAGCTCGCGCGGAACAAAATATTCAAATAGAAGAAATTACTCTGAATCTTGATTTAGCTGGCTGGCACGAGTAAAAATGCAACAATCAGTTCTCTAACGTTGCGTAAGATTGTGTTCTAAATGTTGACGAAAATTACAATGAAACAATCCAGTTCAAAACTGACTGACAAATGAAAAAAAGAAGCAAAAATTTGGAACGCGAAACTGATTGAAACTCAGGAGATTAATTGCCCGAAGTAGCCCTGAATAGAGTTCGTTGTTCGACGAGCGCCGGCTGCTTGAAGTTACAGTTAGCCAGGGAAAGAAATCTCGTAAACGCGTGAATGTTATTACCTTCGTCGCAATTGAAAACTAAAACAAGCCTGCCGAGAATAGCGCCAAGTGCTTTCACGCTCTCGGTTTTTCCAGTTCCGGCTGGCCCGGTAGGGCTGCCGCCCAAACCGAGCTTCATCGCCTGAGTAAGAGCCAGGAAACATCTTTCGGTTAATGACGTTTGAACCAGTCCCACCGCCGCGCCTTGATACTCGAAGCGGTATGGAAATTCAGCGCCGGCACACCGTACAACTGCTCCTTTGTTCTACAATCGATGCTCCGTGTTACGGCGAAAATTGGTGCTTGGTTAAAGTCGATATTAGTTCTAACAAATCACCCTTCGCCCGATACCCGGCCCTATTTAATTAATTCTAGACATTTATTGCCACGCTGTTGGCTAAAATTAATTACAGCAGGACCCTCCTGCAACGCAAGAGCGCTAGAAACAGTCTTCTCTTTTGTCTTATTAAATGAATATTTAAAAGAATATTTTTAGAAATTATATTTAATGGAATATTTTCATATTATTATATGAGTATTTAAAGGAATATTCTTCCTATTGCAACCCCGCTATCTCCATATAATTAAACGATTCTCTATTTTTTGTTAATAAGAGATTTTTTTGTTTTCCATGATACTCCGGCTCTAGCTCTTACTTTACTTTCATTCTTTTTCTAGCTGTGCGAATTGTTGATCCACTTCTGTTAAATTTCTTGAAAAGAGACGTTAACCAGATTTCAATCGATCAAGAATTTCTAATTTTTCTAACGATACAAATCTTCTGGTGATTTTCTGGAGACATGGCTGAAAACTATTCTAATTTCTTATCTCTGACATTGAATATAGTGGGGAAAAAAGATTGTCTTACCTTATAATCGATCAATATCTACTTTGTAATTGAATTTCTGTTTGAAATAATACAACTAATTCTGCACAGAAATAAAAAATAAAACTGTTCCACGATACACGCTTTGAACAATTCCTCTTTATCGCACGAGAGTTAATGCAAAACTAATGTGCTTCGAGTCAATTCAAAGACGCACATGTCTTCATGTCAGAAATGAATCTTTTTCAACAATTTTTTAATGGTGTTATAGAGGGTCCTACTGTATTGTTGAGGAAAGCACTTAAACTCTCTTTTTCTTCGTAATAGATTTAAAAAGTATTGGCCATATCTCTAAGAAGATAAATGATGTATTCCATAAGTAATTCACTACATGAAACAAGTGAAAAGAAAGTCACAATTTCCAATAATGAGCTGTTGAATAACAATGCAAGAAATGTAAAATGTATTCACACATTTGTGATTTCAGTGCTTGATATTTAAAAGTGGAATGTTGATAGAAAAATTGTAAAATATCCTTTTGCAATATCACTCGAATCTCTAAAATATTATATATTCTGTATAGAACTACAGAAAACCCTCACATATCGGTAACTTTCTGATTTTCAAGAATTTTCATATTACTTGTATCATCATTATATAATTCATTATTGGAAATTACTACTATTCCATTACTTTTGTATGTAGTGAACTATTTTGCTAATATATCGTTTGTTTCCGTAAAGATATCGCCAAAAAAGAGAATAAAAAAATAAAAAAAACTGGGCGTACTGTAAAATCGCCACTGTAAAATAGATGAAATTAATATTGAAAATAAACTTTAAAATAGCGAGAATATCTTTCTGAAATTAGGTAGGATTCGGATAGCTTTCAAGTAATGTCAATACTGTCCACAATTGGAATTTTTTTTAAATAAATTTTAGCAACGTTGAATAAATCTTTACAGTATTGTTTTAAATTTATCAGAGAAAGAGAGTTCAATGCCAGAGCTATTTTTCCCTGAATCAAACTGTTAATTCTAATATTAACCACAAGCTTCTGATGTTTAATGGTGCAAGTCTTACGGTTCTGTAACTTCTTAGCTGTCTTTGCCAGGCCCAAACGCTGGACTCTTCCTGTTGTGTGACGTTCAAAAGATTTCTGGCTATCTCCAGATGGTGAACTGTATCGAGCAGAAGGCCACGTGCTTTTAATGCCGTTAATTTATCGCCAGCGTCTTCCAAACCCCTGTATCTAGCTCGTTGTGTCTCTAGATATTCGACGAGGTTTTTTAAAGCCGAACGACCTTCCTTCAAAGCGGCTTCGCATCGCTCCGTAAAACGAATCCTCTCCGATAGCAGTAGAACCTTGATATGAAACGTATCGTAGAGTATTAATGATTATTAATGGTTAATTATTATCACCCGCGAGAAAGTTAATAATTCTTATTTGGAGAAGAAATTCGCTTGTTTTTCCAATAACCTCGTATGGAATATATTGTCTGAATTATATTCTTATTGCTGTTGTAAACTATATTGAATACTCTTGTATTGTTATTATTATTGTGAATATATTTGTATTCAATTGTTATTTTCTACTATTTATAAATTAATAAATTGTATGTATATTTAAATTAGATTTATTTACCATTATCCATATTTAATTAGATTATTAGATTTATTTTATTATTAGATTTATTTACTTTATTATTATTATTATTATTATTATTATTATTATTATTATTATTATTAGATTTATTACCATTATCATATTATTTATTATTTTACAAATTATGCTATTTTATGTTATTGTTACAGGATATTTCAAATATTGTTGAATACTTTTGTTATTATTATCGTTATTATTATCGTTTGCAGGTATTTTATAAACACATGCACATTTACATTTATAAGTTAACAAATATTTCAGAAACTTGTTTACTGTGATTCATTATTATACCACAGATAAAAATGAAAATTCGTTACTTGAGTCGGGTAAGACGACGGATCAGGCGTGGTGTCCATCAAACATTTTTCCAAACTTTGTCGAAGAGCGTCTTTCATGCCTTCCTCGAGGTTGCTCAACCATCGTGGTAATGGATCCCGAAGATCGACAGGCTTGGATAACTGCAGTACCTCACCTTCTGGCGATACAACAGCCGTTAGACCATTATCGTCCTTTATTATGGAACCGACGCCTTGATAGAGTTTCGATAAATGAGCTTCCAGGCCTCGTCCGCTGGCCGACACTAATTCGAGGAGGTCTTCGTCGCTCAGGAAGTACAGGCGTGGATAAGACGAACGTTTTTCCTTTATAGACAAAGAAAGAGAATATATATTGTAATACATTGCAAACTTGAGCAAACTAATAGTTGAGTAATGTCGTTAGACCAAGAAGATAAGAGTCGAGAGATAGCAAGTTTCAAATATACCTCTAGATACTCGTCGAGGCTTTTCTGACATCTGTCAAGCAGGTCCTTCAGATTTGTAAAGGCCGAAAGTGGAAGTCTCCTCAGGGATGACACTCTCGGGTCGCGAGCCACTTCGCCCATAAGGTATCTAAATGTATTTCCAATCCAATTACAACAAATATAGCACGAAACACTGCTATTGAGAAGAAATTTTTATGAATAGGTGTTAGGTACGCAATCTTTTGTAAGAAAAAAAGAAAGACTTGCTAATTTATCGCCTATCATTGTCAGATATCAATCACCTAAATTCTTTGTTAGCTCTGGACCATCTGCCAGTATCGTTCGGGGCAGCGCCACCTTCGTAGACTGGCTCCAGATAGACCCACTTTCTCTGTATGGTACTCAAAGCTTTGATTCGTTCTTCGACCTCGGATAATCCGGCCTCACATCGTCCAACTCTAGCTGCAAACCTTTCGTACCCTGGCGCACCCTTCGCACCCTCCAATAGAAGCCTTAGTTCACCTTTTTCGTGAATAAAATAACTTTATTATTATTTTAAGAAGAAGGCTGTAGGAGGTAGAAGGCCTTAATTGTTTCATCGATTAGCTCACCTGCTCTTGCTAACAGACTGCCATACTCCTCGACGAGAGTAATAACGGCATTTCTACTGTCTCTCGACTCTTGTAGCTGAAGATGGGCCGACGCTTCCCAAGATTCCAGCTCCATCAACCCTTGTCGGATACCACTTTCCGCTGCAGCTCTCTTTGTTATTTCCTAGAAAAATGTCACGGGCATTGAGACTCTTCTCGACCATTGTATTTTTAACAATTTTTCGATTCTCTGATTGTCACCCGAGATTTGAAACATTTGCTATTCGTGACACGTGAATTATCAGTCGTTGACATACGTTGCAACGAAATAATAATTTACTAGTTTGTCATTCTAATGAAAAGGAAATTTAAAGGGACTGTCACAAACACAATTGCAAATAATTGACAAATCTCCTGTCATACCATAGTCTTAACTTGTAAAATAATTTAATTATAACTTAATTTGTAAAATAACTTAATTATGACTTAATTTGTAAAATAACTTAATTATGACTTAATTTATAAAATAACTTAATTATAACTTGATTTATAAAATAACTTAATTTAAAAAAATAAACTTAAAAAAATAACTCCCGTCTTAATTATTATATTTATATTTAAAAAACTAAACTAAAAGAATAACTAAATCTTAAAGAAATAGCTCCTGTATCGAAACTTCTCTCCAAAATTTTAACCTCTTACAGAGAACTTTTACGCGAGAAATAAAAATTGACGTGATAAGTATTTACACATGCTCCGCATATTCCCAAAATTTCGTAATTTTCGTAAATTTCCAGATTATCAGAATGTACCAGAGGTTATCGGTGATTTCGTATACTTGTTTATTTTCACTAATTACCTTTATTTTGTCAACGTTCTCTTGGATCTTCTGCGCGGAACGAAACAGATGGCCCAACGTGATGTCCCTCACGCTCTTCGCGTCCCTCAATTCCAACAGTGGCATCAACTCTCCCCAATGTTCGTCCGCAACCTCGTCGCCGCGAAGAAGCTGCAGCCATTCGATGGTCTCTCTCACCTCGCGAACCTTTTTACCAACGAACGTGCCCATCTCTAAATTATCCTTCTGATTATCTGCCGGCTCCTCTTTCAGCCGATCCTTCAACTGAACTTTTATCCTGCTTTCCCAGGAATCGAGCCAATCGTGAAGCCTGGGCAATCTCCTTCTGGCCACCGTCCACTCTTCCTCCTCTTGATTCCTCAATTCCTCCAAAAATTCTGCCTGGAATCGACAATTGGACTCCTCCACTTCCAGCTGTAGCTCCAATTTCTTCATGTTCCCCTCGTCGCCCTCTAATATGTCGTCGACGTTCAGTTCGATTTTGCGGCAGTCGTTTCTCAGAATGTCCAGTTGCTCCTTCAGGTACGTCCATCTCTCTTTCATCGAGATGATCCAGTCTAACGTGAGGATTTCAGGCTTCGACAGCCACTTCGCTTGCCACCTCTCGATCTCGTCTCGCAGAGCCACCGCTCTGTGACGAAGGTTCACCTTCGCGTCCTCGAGCTCGCGATCTATCACGGCTTTGTGACGCTCCAGGCGATCGGCCAGGTCTTGCCAGACTGTGTACGCCGCGCTGACACCTGTTTCGATGAATTTTTCGAAGGATAACTCGAACGTGATAGTGTAATGTATACAGGGTGTACATAAAGTCTCTTTACAATTTCAAAAATTTATTACAGAGGCAAATGAAAAGATGGATGAGTAAAAATTATTATAAAATGAGACGTATATATTTAAGTTTTTTTTTCCGCCTCATTTAATACGCCTCTATATGGGCACCATTAGTTGCACGAAGCACATGAAGACGGTATTCGATTTCTTACACGATCGATGTTTTCCTCAGATGTTCTTGGTCGTCCAGGAAAGTATTAAATGAAACAAAAAAACTTGAATATATATGTCGTCTCATTTTTTAATATTTTTGTTGAATATATGTGTCGTCTCATTTTTTAATAATTTTCACTTATCTGTCATTTTTCATTTGTCTTTGTTATAAATTTTTGAAATTGTAAAGAGACTTTATGGACACCCTGTATTCAAATACATGTGAAATGTCTGAAACTCGTTTTTGCTTCTGGATCTATTGTATAATTCTAGAATTCCGTTGCCTAACTCTGTGATTTTTCTACTCGACAATTATAATTATAATTCGATAATTGTTCTGAAACTGTAACTTTTATAATTTCATAATTATTTTAAAATTCTAAAATTTTATTTTTCGTACAATCAGTCTATTCTACAATTCCATCTTCTAACGAGTCTATTTTATAATTCTTTCGCAATTTCGTAATTGCTCCAAAATTCTAAAATTATGCTTCTCGATCTATTCTACAATTCTTCTAAAATTTATATTCTATAATTCTGCTTTTTTAGTCTATTCTACAATTACTTATTCGTCTCTCACTGTCATTCAGCAAACCACACTTACGATACAATGGCATGCATAATTTTAACATCACGACGAATCCGAATCGAAACTTACAAAAATATCGCGAACGATTACGCGTGAAATCCCGATTATTAATTGACGATTAATTAATTACTCGACATACCTTCGAGTTTCTCGCTGGTCCAAGCAGCCAGCACTTTCGACAGGCCAGCAACGGCCTCCATCTCCTCGGCCATGCCAGAAGATTGAGCTTCGATCCGTGCATGAGCTTCATAGGCCGATCCAACTTCCTCCACGTTTCGAGGCCTACGTTCAAGTTCCTTCGAGGCTGACGAAAGGAACTCGACGATGGCTACCAGCCTCGAAGACGCTTCCACCCTCAGATCAGAGCACAAACGTTCCCAGTAACGACGAGAGGCTGATTCCAAATCGTTTCTGGTCGTTGCTGTGTCCACGGTGATGCACCAGATTTTCACGTCGCTGCCGCGTAACCTTCCAACCTGGCTCGATTAAGAAATACCAATTAAATAATTTCATTGAACAAACGATCGAAGAATTCAATGAAAACTGAAAATAATGGTTCAGTAAAGATGGTAATATTGCCAGCTAACCTCTTGAGCCCACTGTTTCGCGTCCTTGAACGCTCTTGTCCATTCTTGAGGCGATTTCCCCTTCAGCCTTTTCGTTGGAAGTTCGATAATTAAGTATAATTAAGTACAAGTATAATTAATATAAGCGTCATGTAGTATGTATAAATGTAATTAATATAAATGTGAGTAACTTGTTATGGTGTATTGTACAAGTATAATTAATTTATGAAGTAATAATATTAGGAATTTTAATTACAGCAGGGGGATATTGTTAAATCAATTTTGGGCGAAATGATTGATTAAAGTATTAGTACCGGGGCCGTTGCTTAATTAATTAGGTCGCGTAAATAATAGATTCAAGTAGTGAATTCAAGTTGTAAAATAAAGGTTGAAATTTTAAGGAAGATGAGAAGAAAGGAAAATTGTTTTATTTTTGTGAGAAAGATATTATTTGTTGTACTTTTGTGAAAATTTCAAAACTAGTCGCACTGACAAGTATATCATTCAGTTGATTTTACAATTATTAGAATTTTCGATTTTATAACAATTATCGTAGTAAAATATTCTTGTCAAATTTGTAAAGTAATTTTAGTTAACTATTGATAGCAATTTAATTGTTAATTCATTTTATATTTCATCAAAATATAAATTACATATTGTATTCGATATATGTATAGATTTTAAATTTATCAAAGAGCAAGACTCCAATTTAATTGGAAAGTAATTCCAAAAGAAGTCGAACTTAAAAGCACAAATAGAAAACACTCTTCTTAAATTACAAGAAAAAAAAAAAAAAGAGAAAAAATACAAAGACGAAGATGGTCTCAAGAAACACAGACTTTTATTCGCATCGTATTTGCCTCGACGCTGAGCATAAAAAAAAAGAGAAAGAAAAATCTACGAAAGATCATCGCAACTTAAATTAAAAAAATATCAAATATATAAAATATAATAATTAATAAATATATAAATATAATTAATAAATTATCCAAGAAGAGCTATCCCTCCCATTCTTCTACAGTAACTCGTCGTCAATTTTCAACGAAGGGCAACGTACCGTTCAGCAGCGTCGATTTTCGCCGGCGCGGCCAGGTACAGCCATTTCGTGCGAAGCGTTTCCAAAGCGGAAAGAGCGATCTCGGCCTGCTTGTAAACGCCGCCGAACAAGTAACAGCACCTTTGTATCAGGCCACCGAAATGCGCCTCGGACGCGTCGCCGACGCCTCGGAAGTTCATGGGTATCGAGAGCGATCGACGAATCGACGAGTACAGCTTCGCACGAATCTCCTCGATGGACGGCCGCCATTGCAACGAGCTGTCGCGGAACGTCAGCTCCGCTTTCACTTCCGGCAACTTTTTCAGCAACAACGGCAACGCGCCCCTGGTGCAGGGAGAAAGTTTTTTTACTTTATTATTCCATCTGCTGCGGATTAGCCATGAATGCTAGAGAACGATCATGGCGAATACAGTTTGGATTTTTTTTTTTTTTTTTTTTTTTGTAGATTGGAAGAATTTTTTATACGTGACTGCTTTTTTTTTTGAGGAAAAATGGGAAACGTGAAATGTAGATTAGAGTTGAAGGTTAGATCGAATTTAGGATTACTTCAGCTTGTATAAATATGAGTTACATTGTGTATTTATATATTTTACACTTTGTTATATATTATACAATAATTTATACATTATTTATATATTTATACAAGATGTATCACATATAAATATGAGCTGATCCATGTTGTATAAATGTGAGGATTGATTAAGAAGTGATGGAAACAGTTTGGATCTTGTTTGTAGTCTTCTTCTTTTTTGTCTTTTTGGAAGAAAAATTGGTAAAACAAGAGTGGTTTAATCATGCAAATCAATTTTTGACAATTCTTCAAATTGATTTGATCGCCATCGTTTCAAAGTTATTTAATCACCTTGGACAATGGATATTCTGATTAAATTATTGGACAATTCTTTCGAATCTGAATCCTTCGCAAAAAACGGGAAGCTCTTGCCTCTTCTCTTAAAAACTGTATTTCTAAAGAGTTTCAGTGTACCTGTAAGCCACGCCTAACGCCTTAAGCAGCTGTCTGTCCCAGTGTAACTTCCATGCCTTCGTGTTTCCATATTCAGCCTCCACGGTGTCGACCACCGTTCTCATGTTCATCAACGTGTCTTTCCAAGCGTTCTGATTCCCAATCATGTTGACAGTTTCCCCTTTCAGCAAATTGGACACCAGGTCCCGCAGCGAACTGTGCTTCGCCGCCAGCTCCGAATTCTGTTGCGCAAACTTCCTTACCTGTTTCAATTGGAACACCCTCTTTGTTAACTTTCTCTTAATCTTACTGTTTTCTTTATTATTTTTTTTATTTTTTTTAGTCTTGTTATTTTCTTTATTATTTTCTTATTTTCTTAGTTTTATTATTTTCTTTATTATTTTCTCATTTCCTTAGTCTTATCATTTTCTTTTCTATTTTCTTATTCTCTTAGTCTTTATATTCTTAGCTTATTTCTTAGTCCTATTATTTTCAGAATGTAAAGAACTGAAGAGAAACAGAGAACAGCTTGTGGAATAGTAGAGAAATTACCAATTACAACAAATTAGCAAACCGATAGAATTCTGAAATTACCAGCTCCTTCAGCCTAGAAGTGTAAGCGTCGACGGCCTGTGGATCGGACCAAACCACGCCGGATTGTTCTTGAACGGCTCGTGCCAATTCCAACGCGGTGGTGAGCAGCAACGGTCTCTGAGAGGGTACCATACGATCGCCAATGGTGTTGTGAAATGTGGCGACCTGTTGGAGGGCCCTGGCACGTCCTGCCAAAGATCCTGCCCTTTCGACTAGTTCCCTAACCTCGCGAGGAAGCTCGACACCTTGGCTCGAAAGCGCCCTTGCCTCTCTGATCAAAGTCATCAGCCTTGGATCGTACGTGACTCTCATCATACTGGTACCAGTTAGCTCCACCACCGCGGAATCGGTGCCCAACGTCAGTTCCTTTCTTGCGACAGCCTCCTTCGTTTCCTCAGTCTGACGAAATGATGTCTCGTCAAAGATAGTAATATTGGAATTGTTCTTGGCGGGAAAATATTTGTCTATTTGTTCCGTGCGAAGGGGAATTCTTGAAGAACTCGTTTGAAGAAGACACGAAGGAGAACTTGTTTGTTTCTACTGACTGTGGATTTTCATGAAAATTCATATCTTTATGAGCAGGAATTTGTTTGTAATTTTATATTGGAGCATCAAGTTGTAAAATGTTAAGAAAAATGTCAAATGAATGTTTTATGCTATAATGACTTTTACTTTGGATATTTTGTACATTAAATATTTTATGTACCATTTTAATCGCGAATCTGTAATTTATTCATTTGGAGAATTTTGTTAAACATCTGCATTAATATCTAGAATCTTTTAAAGAATAATCTTCATTGATCCGAATACATGTCCATGATTCTTCATGTTATACAACAGACATTTTTACACTCAGATAAACAGATTTATTAAAAACAAATTCACTTGGTCAGCCATTAATTAAAAACAAAGTTCTACAGCATTATGACGGATTGTTCAAGTTATATTCAGATATCAAGTATATCTTCAGAGTTACGAAATTTTCAAACCTACGTCCACACTAATTCAATATGAAATAAAACTCCTACGTGCAAGGTGCTATTTATTAAACACGTTAGTGTCATAAAATTACCCAAGCATCGACGAAGCTCTGCCTCTTTCTTTCAACATCTTTCAGAGCAGTCGTTAACCTCGACGAGATCTCTTCGTATCCAGGTAGATCCGCCAGCAGTTCCTTCCCCAATCTGTTTAAACCTTCCAATCTTAATTCCGCGGATCGGGCAGCTTGAACCTCTTGAAGTATCCTCGGACTGTCCAACAAGTCGCCCGTGTCCGGACCAGCCAAGCAATTCTCTTCGGATTCACGCAGAAAATGGGAGGATAAAACGTAAAATTTTTTTTTCTTCATTTACTTATGATACAGCTTGTATCGTTTGCATCGGAGCGAGATCGTTCTGAATTCATTGAATCGTCTCGGTCGTTTCTCGCGTTAGAATTTTACCTATAAGATCTCTGTAAGCCGAGAGCAATGTCTCTCGTTCTCCACGCAGAGCTCGTTTCAAACCATCTCTCTTCATCAACTCGAGGTAACGTCGAAATTCCGCGAGCAAGGTGTTCGGCGTGGTGGCATCGGCGATTTGTGTCTTCAGTTTCTGCGCCACTCGTTCCTCGGCAGGTACCAATCCTTCTTCGATTTTTCTCTTCAGTCGGCTCCATTCGACGCCTCTGTCGTCGTCGTCGAAGACCACTGACGTCATTAATTGAGAGATAAATATCTTTATTATATATTATATGATATTATATCTCTTTTATATATATTACATTATATTATAATATATTATATTATATTGTATTATATTATATTATATTATATTGTATTGTATTGTATTGTATTGTATTGTATTGTATTGTATTGTATTGTATTATATTATATTGTATTGTATTGTATTGTATTATATTATATTATATATTATTATGGAAAATTAATCGAGTACAAATTGACAGATTAAATCTTCGATTTATTGTAATATTGATGTTGTTTCATAAAAGGTGATGATATTTGTTACTAGAAAGAGTGAGTAACTGTGTAGAAACTCAATTTAATTTTTAGAATGATTAACGTTATTTTTATTGCACGTTGATTGTACACAGTTCTATATTATTGAAATGTTAGAACATACTTGTACTACTTTCTACAGTAATTAAACATTTAAATGTTATTAAATCAACACACATGCTTTCCTTTCTCCAAAACAACAACATTTATTAATAGAATTTTTTTTAATTTTACTAGAGTAATCGATATTATTTTCATCGTATTCGTCGATCATATATAATTTAAAATTATTGAAATATAACTCACATATTTTTTGCAATAATTAAATGTTGATAGATTTTGGGTTTGATTTTTCAATTTTATTAAAATAACACATATCTCTTTAGTAATAGGATTAATTAGTGTTAATTTTCAACTTTACTAGAATAATCAACGTTGTTTTCATCGTATATTGATCACATATAATTCTAAAATTATTGAAATATAACTCACATATTTTGTTGCAATAAATAAGCGATGATAAAACACAGAGATACCTTTAACATCGAAACATTGCATCAAGGTATCAGCACCAAGTCCAGACCTCTCGTTAGAAGTGAGCAACCTGATCAATTGCCTATACTGAGCACGTAGCTCGCCAATTTGCCTAAATACCACGAAAATCACCAGTTGAATCATACCTCGCAGTAGGAGCAATTATCAATAATAAGGATACCTGAGACGTTTGCCAATACGCGAACAGTTTGCAGGTAAAAAACTTCCACCGTTCCACGGGTGAACTGAATGATGAGGCCAAAACAACGTGGTGAATTTTTCCACCATGTCTGTCCACTTCTCGCAGATTCCCGCACCGTTCGATATTGCTTCAATTTTTACTCGATCGTCGGTTGTTCGAATCTGAGTAAAATACACAGTGGTTTCAAGACAGTGAAAATATATAATCGTTTCGAAAAATAACTTATATTTTCATACATAACGACGATTTTATCGTCGAGTTTTATCAGCTGTAATTTTTTACCTCGTCGATTGTGTTCCTTACGAGAGATACTACTTCGTCTCCAATGACGTCCAAGAATGATTTCATACGTTCCTCGGTGTACACCAGGTCTCCTAATTTCCACAAATCGTCCACGTACCCTGAGACTGCTTCGACAGCGTCATCCACGCTAATTAAGCCGTCCCTATAAAAAAAAATAAAGAAAATAAATATAATAAAATAAATATAAAATATAATATATAATAAATAATAAAATAAATATAAAATATAATATATAATAAATAATAAAATATAATATAAAATAAAAAAAACATAATATAATAAATAATAAAAAATAATATAAAACAAAGAAAATATAATATAATAAATAATAAAATATAATATAAAACAAAGAAAATATAATATAATAAATAATATAATAAAATATAATATAAAATAAAGAAAATATAACATAATAAAGCAAAATAATGAAAATATAACATAAATATTTCCATTAGGATCGAGTTTCTAATTCCAATAAAATTTTCTTCAGATCGGATAAATTTCATAGAGAGAGAAAGAAAGCTAGAAGTAAGCTGCATCTTCTCGCGATACAATTGGCATACTCGTAGCTCCTTTATAACGCAAGGAATATCTTTCGTTTTAAATTTCACGCGTCGGTCGTAACTAAAGGCGCGCCATTTCGAAAGACAGAACCCCATAAAACTTCTCGCGATCCAACTACCGAAGAATTCACCCAGGAATGATCTCTTTTTACGAGCACCTAGCCACCGCCGCGCTCTCCAACTCGGTCCTGATGCTCCTCAAGGTTTTTACAGCCTCCGCGTAAATCGTTTTGTCGTGCGATCGTTTCGCGTCCTCCCATGTCTTTTTCCAATAATCCTCCTCCTCGGCGACGGATGTCGTTGCCGGCGCGCCGAGGAGATTCTCCTCCAGCTTCTTCAAATAGGCAGAATTGAGACCGGAAGATCGAAGTGTCGGCGCCCATACTTGACGAAGAGCCTCGACTAACGTCGATCCTTTCCCACTGCCGGTCGTCGTTACTTGAACGAGGTCGTGGAAATTCCTCTCTGTCACCGGCGCCTCCGTCAACTGCCGGTGAAAAATCAGCTTTTCAATTTCTATCGGAATTAAGCGTGACTCTGTTTGCATTTCGAGGATCATCACCAATTGCTGCGAATGATGGCAAAGCGGATTGAGATTAATGACGATTTTAATTTGTATTTTCCTTCTGTCAAATGATTACGTATTCTATTGTAATATTCACGTACAATAGAATTGTCGAGTTGACTTTGATCTCTCATGAAACGGAATTTCTTGAACTATACGACTCGTGGAAATATTCTGGATTTGCAAAGTAATATAGAATTCTGAAATTCTTCTGGTTAGTTGATGATACAGAATGAAAATACAGTTCATCAGAAATTCGGTAAAAAACATTTGAAAAATACTACCATCTCATCTTTTTAGTAGTTAATAAAAAAAATATGTTGGTGAAGGCAAAAAAATAATTGAAGCAACGTGAGATTATCCTATTTTATGAAATAAATGATACGAAATATTCTATAAATGAAACAAGACGATAACGGAAGATAAAAGAAAAGAAATAAATGTTCAGAAAAAATATCGAAACAATACGAATTCACGCTGCTTTATAACATACACGCAGCTAACAAATGATCCAAGATATTCTATAAACAGCATACTCCTCTGTGACAATAAAATAACGATGAGAGATAACAAAAATAACAGAAATATTATAAGGAAAAGAATCGAAGCAGTGCGAATTCACGCTGTTCCATAAAACACACACGTAGCTGACAAATGATGTAGAAAACAATTTCCTCTTCAACAAAAGTTTCACAATTTGGAACACCTTCATAACCTGTACCCAATATCTCCCACATCTATTTCTCACTCACCTTGAAGAAAACTAAAGTGTTTCTACCAACTGGTAGCTCGTTACTCAACTTCAGCCGCACTTCCTCATCCTCTACATCCGCCGGTTGTGCGCAAAGAATTCTGCATCCGGCTCTGTCCAAGAAATTGTCCAACACCGTTTGTTCATCGGCGATCGTTTCGCCGTCTTTCACGGGCACGCCAAAGAAATGGCCAGCGGTGGACACTATCAACGATCTACGTTTGTCAACCACCACCATTTTCACCGTTGACAATTGGTATAATTCTCGGGTTTTCGTGCCGCGAACGTTTCTCGTCACGGTTCCACTGCAACGTTTCCATGAACGTGGCCGTCCTTGGTCGCGTGGTGATCGTTCGAGTTGTCATGACGACTCCTGGTCAACACAGAGCAGCTGTCAGAGGTGGCACGTGCTGGCAGAATCGCGATTGTCGATACCAAATAGCGGTGAAAGCAATAAGAAGTTGTTTTTTTTTTGTTGAAAGTGGTGAATTGGAAATCGTATGAAAGATTTTTCTGATTTTTTTTTTTTTTTTACTGGAAGATTGGAATTTTGATTGCTGTCGCATACGATGGTTGTTGAGAGTTTCCAAAGTGTGTTTCTATTTTGTGTACCGTTGGAAATGAAAATTTTGTAGAATTTAAGGAGAATTTTACTTGGAATTATAGCGTGAGAAATTTAAGAATTTAAGGAGAATTTTACTTGGAATTGGTCAGAAATTTCTAAGATATTTATTATAAAAGATATTATTTATTATTTCTAAGATATTTATTTATTATTTCTACGATATTTATTATAAAAGAAAGAAAGTTATTATTACGAAAGATCATTATGAAAAGTAAATAACAAAATTGGTATAAAAAGTAAATGATAGAAAGAGTGAAAATTGTCGATGGAATTATTTTAGAAGAGTTTCGTTACGATAATAATCATTTGCATCAAGTTACAAATCTACCTTTTTAATAATAATCTTGGAGAAGCTTGATCATTGCGTGTACATGAAAGAATGCGTCAAAATGCGAAAATTTTCAATTAAGCATTTATTAGAACCAATTGCAGAATAGTATAATATGGGTAGATGAAACTGCGTCATTGGAAAAATATGTGGAAGAAAAAGGAAGATAAACTCTTGCTCGTAATACTACTTCTGATTCAGACTGTTGTTTCTCCTTATTCCATGCTTGTTGAATCATATTAATCGTATAATTCTGATCCAAACAAAGTTAATTCTGTGACAGATCAGCTTTTCTCGTATTTCAACGAAGTTATTACTTATTTCTTAATATTCAATAATAATATTAAATAATATTAAACTTAAAGTTTAATATTAAGAAACACTTTTTCCAAAGTGCCGCTAGTCATGCGAAATTGAACATGAATAATAATCGTGTCAAACTTTCAAGAGAAGATACCGATTTATTCCAATAAAATCACAACTTTTGCAAAGAAAGCAAACATACCGCGTGGACGTGGAATCATTATTTATAGCTAATAGCAAAGAAACAGAAGTCTCTGTAAATTTCACGTAAAACAGTGATTAATCACTCGGTTAACTTGCAATTGCAATATTCGCAAGACATTACGTTATTAACGATAATTCCTAATAATAAATCTTGAAAGAATCTCATTAATGTTTTATTTAAATGTTTTTATTTAAATACCTTCATTAAAATTGTATTTTTTTAACTAAGCGACTAGCTGTTCATAATTCGAAACTCAACTATCAAATCAAAAGTTATTAAAACGTAATTTCTGTTGATATTTCAGAATATTTCAGAAGCGAAAAGTTAGACTTAGTAAACAATTAATTAAATGAGAGATAAAAATAAATAAAATAAATAATATACGTAATAGATAAATAAATAAATACACACCAGTAATTAACATTAAATTTATCGCTAGTAATTTAATTTAATTTAACAGTAATTTTTGACTTATTGTCATTGGATCATTGTAATAATAATTTCGAGTTAAATTATTTAATCACAGAACTTTCGATTTAATTCAATTAATTTAATTGACAATAATCTCTGGCAACAGTATGAAATTCGAAATAAAATTAAATACTCTAAATCAATCTTACAACAATCATTGACAATTCAACAATACTATTTTCAGCTTATAAATAAAGTAAAAAAAAAAAAATTCTTTTTTCAAGATTACTTCTCTATTCCTAAGTATACTTATCCCCGCGAAACGCACCGTATTCGTAAACAAACTGTTTGAAAACGAAGCGAAACCCGTGTATGTTAATAGCCTCGCTAGATGTAACAGCCTGAAGTGCACTAATGAAGATATGAAAATTCGCAGATGCGCGAGTCTGTCGGCATTGTTAACGTTATTAACCGACGAATATTTGCATAATCGAAGTGTATCTGGCATCCACGCCTCGAATAAGCAATCAGAGTACATTCCGATGGTCGTCGAGGCCGATTTATGCGCTCGCGTGCATACGTATGAACTGTCCATGCATACTTCCGCCGGCAGCAAATGGCCCGTGCGATGGCAGAGAAGAGAACGTCGTTCGCTTCTGGCCGTTACCACTTGTCAGAAATATAATTAATGAAACAACAGTTAACAATGGAACAGCATACTGTGCAGCGGTGAACAGAAACTATTGTCACGGGCAAACTTTCCTTGTGAAATCGTGTGTAAAGGGAGAAACATAGATTCATTGTGCCATTCTGTTGCTGAGCGTAAATTTCAAGCGCGTGTCCAAGTAATACGTATTCATTTCTTATTAAATACATAGTATATTTTCTATTCTTTCTATTCCTTTTCTATTCTTTTTATAGTACATTTCTATTCTATTTTTCAGGTAATACGTATTCTTATTAAATATATAGTATATTTTCTATTCTTTCTATTCCTTTTCTATTATTTTTATAGTACATTTCTATTCTATTCTATTTTTCAGGTAATACGTATTCTTATTAAATATATAGTATATTTTCTATTTTTTTAAATTCTTTTTCTATTCTTTTTATAGTATATTTCTATTCTATTTTTCAGGTAATACGTATTCTTATTAAATATATAGTATATTTTCTATTTTTTTTTATTCTTTTTCTATTCTCTTTATAATATATTTCTATTCTATTTTATTTCTTCAGGCAATACGTATTCATTTCTTAACAAATATATAGTATATTTTCTATTCTTTCTATTCTTTTTATAGTATTTTTCTATTCTATTCTATTTTTCAGGTAACACGTATTTATTTATTATTAAATACACAGTGTATTGTCTTTCTATAATAATAAAATATACAATAAATATCACATAAATTGTGTTTTGTATTAATATACATATTATGAGAATATATGTTAGATAAAATTTCTATTTTCTGAATAATTTTTGAATAAAGTGACAAAATTATTTTCCCTCATCTTTAAGCAAATGATTAAATATTTATTATCAAACTTGTTTCACAAGTTTGCGATAACTTTTCACTGTTGCAGAATGAACAATGAACGAGCAAAATGAATCTCGCAAAGTTGAACGAGTCCACGAGGTGTACGACTACGTATAAATCATAATTAACGCACGAAATTATACCTTGCATACGAGTATCTACAACTTTCGGAGATTATATTTCGAATTCTGCATACGCGACGATCCATTTGCCTCTTAATATGGGAAATTAATTAAACGACCGTAAAATCGATATCGCGTTTTGTAGTTGAAAAATTGAACTGAAAGGAAACGTATGAAAAAAGGAAACACTAACAGGTACACGAAAAACAGCAAGTATACAATGAAAAAAATTAATTAGCATCTGAAAATTTCGGAGCAGGTTCGCTCTGTCCATTTGCATTTTATTTCATCACAGTAAATTCGTCGAGAGTAAATAAGGCGTAATCGAATTTGCATTTTTATTCCATGTGAAAATTTTTTATGGGAGATTGCATTGTCTGATAAACTTTTCAAGCTAAAACTACGTTCTTCCCGCGGCGCAATATCTTCCGCAACGACCTAAAAGCGTCGAGAACGTACACAAAGCGTCCAAAAAGAAGCCTCATCCGATGGGAAATCAGTTGTCGCTACACGAGGAAGTCTTGTTTCCGTATATAACCGAACAGCCTTGCTTTTATCGCAGTCGGTTCTCAGCTGAATTTAGCAGGCCGCCAAAAGAAAGGAAGAAGAAAAAAAAAGACCTTTATTTACGTGGGAGTGAAGGAAAGAAACCGATGCTTGGCTACGTGATCACGTAATCGGCTACCTAATCACAGTGAAGTGCCGCTATAAAACTTGCCGCGACGCTAATATAGATGTTGTACCTTTGTGAGAATCAACTCGCTATGCATACATTTGCTTTCGAGGATGTTTTGTGAAAAAATTCAGTCAAAGATCACTTATCAAGATGTTAACACAGTTGATAATTATGATAGACTGCGAGTCATGCTTAAAATTGAGTTTTTTCAAGATGCTAAGATATAAAATACTGTGATATTTTACGGGATACGAAGATTTCAAGATATTAAAATTCTAAGACGTTTTTTAAGACACTGAGATTTTAAAATACTAAGCTACTAATTGTAAGACACTACTAAGATACTAATTGTAAGACATTACTAAGATACTAAGATCTAAGATACTAAAATTGTAAGACACTACTAAGATACTAAGATACTAATTGTAAGACACTACTAAGATACTAAGATACTAAGATCTAAGGTACTAAAATTGTAAGACACTACTAAGATACTAAGATACTAATTGTAAGACACTACTAAGATACTAAGATACTTAGATCGAAGGTACTAAAATTCTAAGATATTAAATTTTATGATGCTAAAATACTATGATTCAGAGATACTAAGATTCTAAGACTCTAAGATACCAAAATTCCAAGATATTAAAATTCAAATATTCTAAGATAATAATAACAGTAAGATACTAAGATTCTAAAATACCAAGGTATCGAAACTCTATGATTCTAAGATTCTAAGATATAACAATTCCAAAACATTAAAATTTCAAGTTACTAAGATGCTAAGAACCTAGGACACTAAAATTCTAAGACTTTATGAAAATTCTCAGACTTTAAGATACTAAAATTCTAAAATATCAAGACATTAAGATATTAAGACCAAAGCAAAGTATCAAAATTCCAAGACACTATTGCAACACACTAAGACTCTGTCTGCGAAAATTTTAAAATCACCGAAAAAAACGCTAAGATCGAAACAGAATTCTCGAGACCTCGAAGATTAAAAAAGATCCGTCGAGATTTTCAAGAATCTTAATCTCTAAACTATTTAATCTTCGCTGTAAAGTCTTCATCTTCAACTTCGATCGCCAAAACTTAAAGACTCTAAATTTTTCTCTATACATGCAGAATACATCTCGAATCCCATCAGCACTGACGCCACTCAACGATATTGGACCGTGACGAATCGAATAATAGTTTGCCTCGAGTTCGCTCGCTTTTCAAGCCACGATCTTCAAACGATCGGGAACAGTTCGAACAAACTTTTTTCCTCCTGTGTAAAAACGACGCACACGAGTGTTTATATATATATATATATAGCGTGGCAGATTCGTTCAGGTTTAAACATCAATCGTTACGTTTCAGACACTGCGGCGACTAGACGCGCCAAGGCCGCGTTTACTCGACGATTTTTCTCGTTGTCAGTAAGGAGTATTGGCAACGCAGCGATAGATCGTTGCGGCCATGGTGGAGAGCGTGCTTCAGTTGAGGCGCGGACGCCGTTCCGTGCTCTTCTTCTCTTCTTCGATTTGTTCCCGTTTTTCTTTTTCTTTTTTTTTTTTGTTTTCTTTTTCTTCAGGATAAACAATCCAAATTCGTGACCTTTCTCTTTCAACGTTCGATCGAACGTGAACGAGTTCGCAGCTGTTGAGGTGAGTTGCCTTACTCTCGATGCTTGTTCTTTTTGCAATTTCTTCGAGAAGCACGCTCTTTCAATCCCGATCCAATAATTTTGAAAACAGCTCGTCTCAATATATTTATTCCTCGGAATGTAGGTTGAAAAGTATGTTTTCTTTTTTTTTTTTTTTTTTTTCTTGAGAAANTTCTGGAACGTGAAGCTCAATCCATGAAGAACTTTCTACAGTTAATCAGCGTACGTAAAATAGTTTTTTTTTTTTTTTTTTTTTTTTCTTGAGAAAAGTAATTGGAAAGGCTGTAATTGTTGAGAAAGTAAAGAAGTCATTTTAATTTCATAATTTCAGCAATTACACGTGGTGAATTTTTATACGTCACGCTCTCCACATTTGTTCTTTGGAATGCGATCCCTGTTATTTAGAGGATCAAAAATAGAATACTGTTTCGTAGTTCCGTTCATCGTTGATGGAGAAATGATGTTCCTTTTTTATTGTTTTGTAAATGAAGTTGAACAGGAATTATGTATAGTTCGATCTCTTTAACAAGTGCAATAGGAGAAGAAACATAGGATTGTAGCAATTGCGTGTAAATAATACAGTCGTGAGGCATCTTTTATTTTAATTATTTTCAATGACTTTTATATTACCTTTATCATTTTCACTCCTTTATCGTGGAGTTCCCGATTAATAATCCATAAATCAAAATTTCCAAGATCAATCGATTCGAAGCTCCTTTCTTTTCATTCTTGAGATTAATTCATGAATGAAGGTGTTTTCAGACGTTCCCCTCTGCCAAATTAATCGGTCGCCACGTCAAAAGACATTCGACGATTCTTCTCGTCACGAGTCGTGTCGTTCAAGATGTTCGAAAGAGTTGCGTCGAATTAATTTACGACAGCCTTTTTTTTTTCTTTCCACTGGAACGTAATTATAAGCGTTCTTTCATTATCGTGCGCGATTATTTTTATGTTGTCGCTTATGCAACGAGCGATTTGCGGTAGTTTCTTTTACAACTTCGTTCCCGAACGTGCTCTGTTTTCGACACAGCAAATCGCAAACGCGCGATTCGCGTGATATATCTCGGTATATCTCGTTCGAAAGTGGAGCGTATCTGAAAGCGTGCCAGGCCGCGTTATTATATTGTGATAAAACATAATCGCGCAGAGTTGTGAGAATTCGGGTTAAATGTTCCAATATTGACGAATTTGTTGATTTTTCTGCAATATTCGCTAACTTAAACGCAAACGAATGCAAGTAGTTACCCGCGAGTCAGAAGAATGATTTCTATTTTTTTGAATATCTTAAATATAATAAGATTTTAATTTTTAAACGTGAGATCGCTGACAAAAATTAAATACTTCTGTTGTGCTTAGCAATGTTCATAATGAGCGCCGTAAATCCTCGATAAGAAAATCTTCGTTTTATCTCAAGTATTAAACGATCTCTTTGTAATTTTCTTTTCCTTTTAATTTTTAAAGATTTTTAAATATAACAAGGTTTGCAAATGCGATAATACTGAGAGATGGGGAATCAAGTACCTCTATCGTCATTCACGAATATTCATAAGTTGAAATGTAAATGAATAATATTTATAGATCATCGGTGGAGATATCTGATTTTGCAATTTGTTGTCACTGTTATTTTTCTAAAGCTAATAATGATAGTGCAACAGTCTCTTAATTTTCAATTTTATGTGCAAAATATTTATTATAAATATAAGTAATACCAACCGAGTTTAAAAATATCTAACGAAACTATCCTCATTTCTTTCAGTGCGATTTTTCCAATTGCGCGACGTCGATTTGCCACAATCTTGAATAATTATCACGAAACGTCCAATATATCTTGAGTAATTCTACAAAATAACCAGTAATCTTGGGTAATTATCATATCTTGAACAGTTCGTTAAAGCGGCATACGTATATTTCGTTCGCGTTTTTTTTTTTTTTATTTTTTTCATTGACGTATGTACAGTTATAATATTATACATTAATGTATCGCTAAAAAGTTATTACTGGCGTCGCTCATAATTTCCAACGTGTCTTTAATATCTTTCACGAACCTCACAATCTCCGAATTTCACAGTAGAATTCAAATTTCTTCAGTTTACATTCACAATTTTTATCCGACCTTTTATCGCGTTCATAAATTTGCTATACGCTCCGCGATAATGGTATTCGCCTTTGTTAAAGCATGCGAAACACTTCCTCGTAGTATAATGAGCTCGATCCCAACGGCACATTGTTTTCCAGCGTTTATTTGCGCGCATCTTTCTGTTTTGACAGCCAATCCAACGTTGTTCGATGTTAATCTATCAGCGGACGATTACGTACACTGGAATCTCATTTTCCTGTTTGCATTATTATCATTCTTTTTATCGTCTTTTTTTTTTATTCCAAATGACAATACTGCGAAGATTATCTCTTTTTCTTTTTCCTTGCATTGTTGTCTGTGTAGTTATCGAAATTGAATTTCTGTTGCGAACGAGTTAGAGTATTTCTTTTCTCCATCTTGGACAGTGTTTTCGAAACACACTTCTGTGTTAACAGCTTTCTTTCCATCACCTATATTCCGTTATTAGTCTGAAACGATCAGTTCAGAATCACACTTCAAGTTCGTCGCAAATTGTAACAAGCGACTTTCTTCGTTTCGTATAATTATATACTTTTAATAGATAAAATTGTGTTCGTCGTTCACTCGATGCTTCCCTCGAAAATGATCGTGCCAGTATGTTTACTTTTTTGAAAATCCACTTTTCCGATTTACAAAGGGAAGCTTGCGAGAAGCAAATTTGAAGTTGGACTTCGAAAGTCAACTTTCTTTCTTCCTAAACAAATACATGATTTTCAAATTCGTGCAACTACAATTTCATTGTGTATTGAACAGTGTGTATTTTTTTTTTTTATCATACAATCATATTTTTTTTTAAGAAAGATCAAGAACCACGTTGCATCAGCGCATGGTTGAAAGTTAAAGCAATTTTCGGCCACGTAATTAGAATTATTATTGCAATCGAACTTGTTCGATCGACATACAGTTTCGAAATTAGCAAATCATGGCCAGCGACTCGAAAATTTGAACGACACAAGGAAATTGAGTTCTGCTTTCTAGAAGACCGCTGCCAGTCATACGAAACCTCGCAGTTCAGTCAATTCGAGGGAAAGACTGCTAGAATTCACAGTCGTTAACACTTGAACCTGTCGCTGCCTGTTATAATTAGTACTTGCTACGTTGCACGGTGTGTCAAAGAAAGAAAAAAAAAAAAAAATGACGTCGCAACTGATCAAATGACACAGTTAACTATAAGCATAGCTACTTGTTGATGTAGAAAATGTGCACATAGCAGAAATGATGTATTATGTCACAGCGCGTCACTGATCGAAGGAGGATTAATTGTCAACTGTACTTGAAAATTCTTGACAACGATGTTTGTACAAAATTTTTTGAATGCAAACACTATATATTTACTTTCAATTATCCGTTGCTGTTTAATAATTTGGAGTATATTGTGTGGAAAATTAAATATAAAATGATATCATTTCATTCTGTAATTAAGAAATATTTCTATTATTTTAATACAAAAAATATCAATTATGAGTTACATTTGATGAGAAAAAGAAATTTTATAATAACCGAAGAAAATTTACAGTAACTACAAGTATGATATTACATCGACCGCAATGAATGGCCAAAATATTTCGTAATGTGTATCTAAATTTTAGAAAAATGCTTTTCTAGAGAAAGTGAGAATAAAAATTTAACATTTTGAAGAAAGTTAAAACTATTCTCCGTTTCATTTAACATTACAACAGTTTCAAGTACATTGAAATTAAAACAGAGCCGTTCGTCGTTCGATTTCTTACGATTGTCTACTGTTTAGCAAATATTATAACTACCACTAACCATCGTACGAGTTTCTAGGAAGATTTGATTTTCTTAAAGCTCCAGTTAGCTCAGAATACTTCAAAGATCCTCGAACAGCTGTAACCATTATAGCTGTGCCAATAATCGACTTCTCGATCTTGACAGACGTTCGTTTAATCAGTGGTTTCATTTACCAAGCTCATGCTTACGTGCTGTCATAATAGACGCGACTTTCTGCGCGTTCGAACACAAGTGGAAGCTTGAAAGAAACGTGGAATCATGTCGCGCAATTAGCAATGAATCACACGTCGCACATCTCAAACGATCGTAGGAGCAGTTGCGTCAAAAGACCAGCTGAGGTCGCCTGGAATTTATCGTTCCCCTAGTAAATCGAAGAATGGACGTCTTAATTTTTGAAGAACTATGATCAACCGCTTTCTTAAAATTAATTAATAAGAAGAGTAATTAAATATTCTTCAACTCGAGAATTTTATCTTCGCTATAAAGCCTCTGATATTAAAATATTAAAACAAAGAGACAATTCTAATTAAATATTAAAATATTAAAATATTAAAATAAAGAGATAATTCAAGATTTTAGGACAAAGATATCTTAACTAAATACTGAAATCCTAATTTCGCATAATTTTATTAAATATTTAAATATTTAAATTTATATTTTTTTATTAAAATATTTAAATTTTGCAATTTTTGCAATTTAACCTTTTGAGAGCAATTCCCCGATAATTTTATACCGAAGGTTTTTGAATTAGACGTTGCAGCAGTGACACAGTCTTTATATTTCAATCTTATAATTTTATATTTTTAATGTTTCTATTCCTAATTTTAAAAGTTCTGGTATCGTTGATATTTGTTTTATCCTTTCTATAGGTAAGACCAACATCAATTTGAGAATCGCCTAATTAAATGATATAATGATAAAGATAATTTTCATTTAAATTTTAAGATACTTTGGTATTTATATGTGTCTTGTTTCTGACATTACTTAATAATCATTTCTACAGATGCAAGGATAACAGATCAACTAGCTAAGAAATAATAATTATAATTTTTATTGAAATCTTAAAAATACTTTAATATTAGTCATATTTATCAGTCTGAAAATAACAGATCAACCAACTAACTAAACAACAAAAATGACAAAAATGCAATGGCAACATAATTTTCATTTACATTTTAAAATATTGTAATATCATTTATATCTGTCTTGTTTCTGACATTACTTAATAATCATTTCTACAGATGCAAAGATAATAGATCAACTAGCTAAGAAATAATAATTATAATTTTTATTCAAATTTTAAAAATACTTTAATATTAATCATATTTATCAGTTTGAAAATAACAGATCAACCAACTAACTAAACAACAAAAATGAAAAGGATGCAATGGCAACATAATTTTCATTTAAATTTTAAAATATTGTAATATCATTTATATCTGTCTTGTTTCTGACATTACATTTGATAATCATTTCTACAGGTGCAAGGATAACACGATCTTGAAAAATGACGGATCAACCAGCTAGCAAAGGACCGCCAAGTGCTATCATGCTGGTATTCTCGGTGCTTACACACATCCTGTTACTAGCACCAGTAATATACATCGTGACTTTGGCTTTTGAGAAGTACAGCTTCTTCTCGTGGCATCCGATTTGCATGACCGTCGGAGTAAGTAGCGAACCAAGGCTAATTACACAACGAACCAACGAATAATAAAACACGTGGATCAGGAATCTAGGTGCTTGACTCCTACATTACATCAGTAACTCAACACTTTGTTAAGAATTCCATTGCACAGAAATTAATAGGTGAAGCAACTCGTTGGTTCGTTACTCGAGTGTAACTCACTTGTTTTAAAGTCAGCTACGAATGCGTTTCGCAATGGCACGATTGCAATAAATGTTTCTTTAATACAAAGTGAATTAGCGTTAAGATTTTATATATTGACAAAATTGCTAGTGTATCTTTTTTTCTTTTTTGAAACTCAATAAAATTTAACAAATGCAATTGGATCATTTACAAAGAATTTTTCTTAGAAAATCACATCACGAGGGTTATATTATTATCATTATATTATTATCATGTAAATTCTCGTAGAGTTTTCGCTTAAGGATAAATTACGGAAGAAGAATATAATCAACAGTAATAAAGTTTATAAAAAAAATTTCAGTCGAAGTTAATCTGTTCAGTGTGAATTTCTTTACAAAGTACATAGAAAGTTTCCTATGTGAAATGCGATTTATCAGGGATTTAAAAATTAATACACGGAAGATCGTTTATGTGGATTTCATATTAACTACGTAATCGAGGGTGTAATAGAGATTTTATGGAGATTATCTTACGGTGTTCGGTTCAAAATATTTTTGCTAGTGAGTACGACATCGAGAAACGATGTAATCACTCGCTTCGTATTTTATTCCCGACCATTTTTTTCTACGAAGCGTAAAATCTTAGATGTGATTCATTGGACTGTTAAAGCGTCAAGAGCATCCGATCAATTTTCTCGTAATGCGTCATCTTCAGCTTGAAAATATATCGATACACGATGGGTATACTCAATAAAGAACGAGCCAACAGATACATAGAATATTATTAATTAATATAGAAGTATTTCTTTGCATCTTTGAAAATTAACATAGTGATTCGTGCAAGTATTCGAAGTTTTTTTACGGGGATAAAATATAATTTTCATTAACACTGCAATGAGTCACGTTGCAACTATACACCTCGCATACCAAAGTATTTGAACAATCAGTTATTCACTACGTACATTCAATTTTGAATAATGAAATCTATGCTCGTAATAAATGTGTAAAAGTTTTATGTTTCACTTTTCTACATTTTCAGATTAGTTTCAAGTGTTTCCAGTACGATCAATATTTTGTTTCGATAAGTTCCTTTTTTTTTTTTTTTTTTAATCTAATGTTTCGAAAACAATTTCATTCTCGACACAGATAAAATTGCTTAAATTAATAAAAATTCTTCTTCTTCGAATATTTTCACGAGCCTACTGTAGATTATAATAAATACAGCAGAGTTAAATGCAAATATCTCGAACGTACACTATATTAACGTATTTCCTGAAACTGAAAGAAAAGAATGATTTCCTAACACTCCCCAGAGTTTCGTATGTAAAAAGCATAAAATCCTAGACATGATTCAGAGACCTTGATCCAAGTGTCTCGACTGTTAGGTCATCTTCGTAGTTGGAGGAATGCTGAGTTCTACTTATTCACAACTACTCCGAACAATGTTCTTAGATAAACCAAATACAGTTGAATCTAGAAGACATGTATAGGTCGTTGGAAACAAGTAACAAATAAACTTGCCAGAGATCTACGATAAAAAAAAAGAAACGAGATCATCTAACTAATTGAACTTGCTGCTTAATCTAATCACGAAGATTCTAGTCTTTTTTATTTTTTTTTTTTTCTAGCGATATCATGTCGATTCATTATCTCCTTCAAATATCGTAGGCGTGCACACTTGCACATTCACCGAATTAAACGGTGAAGGCATCTACCGCCGACCTAGATCGACAAATTGGTTACAACATTCCTCGAGTAAACTAAAACGAACGCCATTTTGTCTGTCGATTGCTCTGCCCATCAAATTCGTCAAACGCCGAGGCGTCGTGTGTTAGAGTTTGTCGTTAGGCCAAGGGCATAATTGCTATTTTTGGCAGTTGAAATTTAATGGTTCTACCATCTGGGCAGCGACCGAGTGAGAATAATGCGAGAATAAATTGCAATTTTGACAGGAAACGAAATTTATTATTATTTGTAAGATATGCAAATTAATACTCTCTTACGTTGTCTAGATTCGTACTAAATATTTTTAACAACAACGTAAATATATAAATATTTCTAAGACAGAGACGTATTTTTTTTAGAAAAGAATTTTATTAATATTTAATAAAATATTATACTAATAATATTTTATATTAATGTATTATAATAATATTACTATATATTTTATATTATAATATAATATTATATATATAATATATTATAATAATATGCTATATTAATATTTATAATAATATATTATACTTGGAAGGAATTCTTAATTATAAATAGCCGTGCAGATACCCTAGAGAAACATTTTTAAAACATATTAAGATAGTAGCACCTTTGATTTGAAAAATAACCATGACAACTAAAGAATAGTTTGCAGTTTCCCTATAAAAGAAAATACTAAACTTATCTCCGATCAAAAGTAACCTAAAAAAAAAAAAAAAACTACTTTGAAACTCTCTCTCAAAAGTCTGGCATCTGTTTCTACTTAAATTCCTACTTGAAACCTTCTTTCACTAATCATCCACCTCTGTCATTTTTACTAAAAAAAAAAAAAAAAAGACAAAATACCTCGTTTATCGATCGCAATCTCAAATCCAAATTTGCTTCGACACACGACAGGTCGGTCTTCTGATAACCGAGGCGATATTCAACGTTTCCGGCGAAGCTTACGTCGGCTGGAAGGTGTCCCGAGTCAACCGAGTGACTCTCCACTGGATCCTGCACACATTGGGTCTAGGATTAGTGTTAGTCGGCCTGATCATCATCGTGGTGAACAAGACGGTGAACAATCGTTCACACTTCATGACGCCTCACTCGATCCTCGGCTTGGTCAGCATCATCCTCGTGTTTTTGACAGCAGCGTTCGGCGTCGTCACCAACAACTCCAGATGGTTGTACCCGCGGTTCAGGCCGGTCCTCCTGAAGATCGTGCACGCGTTCGGCGGCATTGTCGTGACGATCCTCTTGCTTGCCACGCTGATCACGGGCACTTACACGAAATGGTGGCCCGGCGGCTACACCGGAAGAAGCCTAACGTTCACCGCGTTCTTCATCGCTGGCTTTTTTATCCTCCTGAAGCCGGTTCTCGGCGCTGTCTCGAGGAGCAGAGTGGTCTTCGGCCCGCCACCTTCTGCCACCACGTAATAATCGCGCGAATACGTATACACCGGCTGCGGTTTAGGCGAAAGGCCTCTCACTTCATTCGATTTGACGGATTTAATTCCAAATGAATAATTAGGAAGTCCGTCTCGAAATGGATTGTCTGCAATACAGTAGGTCGCTTAAATGTTTCAAACTGTGATGATACGGAAATTATATCGCATTCGATCGAAGTGACGAGGAAACGATGAATTAACGATGGATTTTGTGAGTAAGTGGTTTTTTTTCTTTGTTTTTTTTTTTTTTTTATGTGTGTGCAATTGAAAAACACGCTGCAAGATCTTGAAATGATCTTTAATTAGAATTGCATGATTGTAATTTTCAGCAATTTTTGAATGAAATCCTTCACACGTTAAAGAGAAGCAAGTAATTCTCAATGATCAGCGAGGAAATTCGAGATTCCTTCTTTGTTACTATAATGAGAGAACAGCGAGTAAAATATTTTTCGTATCATCGCAGAAAAAAGACATTTAAGTGTGTCTTGTTTTAATTGAAACGTCCTGTATATTTGAGGGTATAGTGTAGCTAACGGCATTGTGCTACATAAGTGCAGTGTAGTGCAATACTAAAACGTCGCACAGTATAGTACAGTACTGTTTTATGGCAATGAAACGACTGCTGCCGTAACATTGTACGTTATACCGCATATTGTTGCAGCAATATTGTATATTATACTATACAATACAAAAATATAACAGCATTGAATTTTGTCAACTAACATGATGCTATGAAATATTTTCCTACGCCGTATAGCGTAATAAATGAATAACCTAGCATAGCAGAGCTCCATTTGTACGAAGGGTTGATATGAAAATTGAAATGTTTCATATAATGGTAACGTTGATTTTTCGTTTCGAGCAATAAGATTTCAGGTTATTTCATCGAGTAATAATTAAAATTTGAAATTCTGCTGTACGCGTTAACAGAACATATCTATTCTATACTGTAATACACAATGTTACAGTAATATCTCGCCGTACTATATGATATATAGTATAATACTGTAATTTGAAGGGAAATAATTTCGACGCTTTTATCTGAATGTACGATAAATATCGGGGCCTGAGATCGATTCAAGTGCACGAGTGTGTGTTCAGAGTTTATCTAAAGTCTGTGCAATGAACGCGGCTTGTTGAACGGTGCTTCAGATTCGATCGACGACAGCAATAAAAGATTGATCTAAAAAGTCGTTCTTTATTAGGTGAAGTATTATCGTGTCACGTAATTAGATAAAATCTAATCGTCGTTCATCGCAACAATTGGATCGTTCGTCGCACGTGTAATCTCGATTGAAAAGAGAAGGCAAGTTGAAAACTTTATGACTTGCGATTCGAAGATTCAGCGGCTTCTTCTCGTCGTTTTAATAATGTAATGGAATTTTTTACGCTTCAAGGGCGCAGCAAAGTGTGACATACATTTTCACATCTTGAACATTTATATCTTGCGTATCACTACAATTACAATTTATTTCATTTGAAAATAAGTCGAAAGTTGTTGAGATGAGGAGTGTAAGAGGATAACTTCGAGGATAAAAGGAACGATTATTATTTTAAGTTACTCACTTTAAATTAATCGCCATTCTGTCACTGTCAAAGGGTTAATTTACTTACAATTAGAATTCAGACATTCCGTCCTCCAATGATTGCGCAACGTTTGACGATCATTGACAGCCAGTTTTTGATACTCGAATTCCTTAAATAATTCCTCTAATATACTAAGATATTCAATCAACAGGATCACCGGATTAAAGTCAATGTTTCTGGAAAATTTCTAGCACTAGATTGTAAAATTCGATCGAGACTTAGGTGAAGTTAAATCAACAGATTCCAAACATTCGTGAGAATCTAACTAAACTAATCATATACTAAATAAAATACACACTTGATATTACTGAGAATGAACGAAGAGAATGATTTATTTTACCATCGTTGTGTTCATCAAATTATTAAAAATGATGCCAGACGTTGATAAAAATGCATCAAGAACGCTCGTAATTAATCGTCTGGAAAAAGAGACGTGTATCTTTAGATATAAATATAAGTATCTAGACTATTTATAAGAAATGTTTACCAAAAAAAAAAAAAAAAAAGAGAATGATAATGCATAAACGTTAACTTAAAAAAAAAAAAATGTCGAGACAATATTCGCTTGTACGTTTACATAAAATATTGTTAGATAAATGGATATAGAGGAGGCAGTACACGCCGTGGCGTTATCGTCAACCATATATATCAACACTTTATTAATTACACACGCATCATATACATATATATAGAATTTACATAATGTATATATCCTTCCGCAATGCAATGTACATGTATATTAATACAATTTCTTATTCTCGAGATAATTTCACCGTCTCTTCGAATATTCTCCCCCCCCCCCCCCTTTTCCTTTTCCCTTCAATCTTCCACCTTTTGCATAGACTAATATCTCTTAAATCCCCGGCAATCGTCAACGTACAATAAACATCTCGAATTGAATCTAATCGTCCGTAGAACTTTCATCCATCTTGTAATCTGTTCGTACGCAGCATCGTTAATATCGCGCAACACCGTATGTAATGCGTTGTATACGTATGTATGTATGTATGTATATATGTATCATTTGTTATATGTACATACATATGTATACGCGTCTGTATCTGTCTATATATTGCGCACACGTTTGTTACATACAGACGCAACGTCATTTCGAATTTTTCGACTTGCCTCTTGACTCTACCTTAAAAGTTATATGCGTCCTGCATCTATGTACTTTACCGTGTTTTTGATTGTGTACTCGTCTATACGTTTCACGTGTGTCTCTCAGTTTGATCAAGACTACGTTCGTTTCAATGAAAATTGTGAAATTGATTGAAACTTGAAGAAATTAGAATCGAACGATGGATCGATTGAATGACTGAATGATGATGGAGCACAATTCTAAACTTAGATCCTTTCGACTTGGACGAAAATTAATCCTTTGTTGTATACTAAACTGAGTAAACTTCTAAAAATTGATCTTTGATCGATTTTTAATGGATCATTTCCTATGGATCAGCGGTACAAACTTGTAATAATAAAATCATTCTGCTTCAAGAGAATCATCAATTCGATACTCTTATCGAGAATTATTACACTGAAAGTGTTTCTAGATCGTAAATCGTCTTTGATAGATAAACGATTTCACGCAGAAATTTTATCCTGACCGGCGAGAAAACTGAGAGATACACGAAGTAGCGTATCAGAAGCAAGCGTATCGTAATGACTTCATCCTTGTTCGGAATGATTTTCCACGAGATCGCAATTTTAATTCTACTTCATCAACACCCAACGATTTTTCGTAAAATCATGCTCGCCAGCGTACAAAAAATGTCTGTCTTATTAACGCGAACGAATATTAATCCTATCGCGTCCACGAAATATAACACATCAGCTACCGTCTACGACACTATCCCCGCTCTCGAACGCTTTCCTCTTTCTCGATTAGCTCTAGGACACGTTGCTTTGTACTGTTCGCTCTACTGGTTGCTCTTGGCGACGTAAAATCCGTAACATTGCGCGGCAACCGTGAATTTTCTTTCACGCGTCGAAAAAAATTTCGATCGAATGATTTATAGAAAAACTAGGAGAAGAAGAATCTTTCAGTTCGTCACTTTAAATCGTGGAAGCGTAGTGGCTTTCAGTTTCGAGTTCTATTAGATATTAAATGAGATTTTAGTGAAAACTTGTGCAGAACAATATTTCTTCTTACGCTTCGTATTTATAGGGTTGAACAAATTTTGAAAACATCAAAGTAATAATAAAACACTGATGTTTCTTGATATTTTTCTCGAACAAGTAAGAATAACAATTGTCAATGTATGAAATTTCTCAATTAAAATGTCACTTCTCACTTCTGTCACGCTAGTACCATAAAAGTATGTAGATAATTTACAAATTAAATTTCGAAAGAGATATTGATACAAGTTGAAATTCCCCCAATAATTTTTAATAAACCAAACTGCTTTCGAAATTACGTTTAAAAATATATTTACATCTAAACGACAATCGTTCTTTATGTTACCGCGTTGTTACCGATAATTCTACGTCACCGAAATCTTAACCCTACCTAGGACAGTCGACCACGTGGCCTCGCCGGTTTAAACCGGCAGCTAATGCTATTTATTAATTATTTATCATTTAATTATTATTATTATTATTATTCATTACTTTGTAACATAACATTTTTCCTCATAATAATAAATATTGTTATTGTTGTTGTTGTTAATGACGCGCTAAATCTTTTTGTTTAAATTCTTTTGTTACACCTGCATTAGATTCGCCTATCTAGCCTAAGGACATTAATTAATTCTGCCGAATGTTTATCTATCAGTCACCCTTTCCCCCTCCACAACGAATCCCAAGTATTCTGTTATTTCTCTCTTTCTTCTCGACCGTTTTTCTCATTTGTTTTTTTTTTTTTTTCATATACTTTTTAATCACATTTTCTCAAATCGATAAGAACTGTCCATCGATCGAACGGTCGTTCATCCTTCCCCTGAAAGGAGGATCTTTTCCTTCTCTTTTTCTTGTTTCTTGATTATGTCTCGGATATGGCTAGTTGAAGTGCATTTTTCGCGTTCCTATCGTAGGTTTTCGTAGATTTTCGTTTCAGTGTCTATCATCTGAATATATCAGTACGTAACATCAAGTAACTTCGTTCAGTTACTTGATGCAAGTTGTGTATCGAGTGACCTGATTTTAAGAAGTCGTTCAATGAAAAATTATAACGTTGACGTGTAATAAATACAATACAATAGAATAGACTGAATGTAAAATTTAAAAAAAAAAAAGGTGGAGTCGATTTCCTTTGGCGAAGTATTTATAATTATTTCAAATCAAGTGATTTCACCGACTGATACTGGAGAAATTTGACGATAAGAAAATACAATACTGAGTGCATGTAACGTGCAAAATATCCAAAGAAATGTATATCTGATCGTAATGTGATAGACGAAAGAATTCCTTAATTGTCTTCGCAATAAGAATATTTCAAATGACGTATAAAACAATAATGAAATTTCAGTGAAGCGAGAAGATCTTACAGCACGTAGAGTTACATAAATTTTTCTTGAATTCAGGTAACGTCGATCGATCTGAACGAAGCGTTTACGCGGTTAGTCTAATGCCTCTTCTCATTGGAAAGATGGTAACAGAAGTATTTCGTTGAAAAGGAGGCGAACGTTTCATCGAGAATTGATGGGTACCAATGTAAATGATAGATTATTAAAATCTACAATACTTAATGAACAATTATATACTTGGTATTTCGTGTCTACTCGTAAAATGGAGGATCTCAGGCGTTCAATTAACCGAAAGACTAACTGTAGTACAAAGTGCCGGGTTGTTTCGGTGTTTTTTTCATTTTTTTTTTTAATGAGTCGATTCGATAAACTTTCATTGTCTTCAATGCGAAGCTAACTGTTTTAGCCTCGAATTGGATACGAATTCCGTTCTTGGGATTCGAATATCTTCTTCTATGTAACGCTTATTTGTTTTATCTTTTACTCTTTTTTTTTTTCTTTTGCCTATTTTTCTCTGAAGCTCTGAGTATTAACAACGACTAGATACTAAAATATTAATTAGGTCGCCGAGGATACCGAGGATCCTTCTCCACTTGTTCGTCCCTTTGAGCAAAGGATCGATGGCAAAGGACGATTATTTATCCTCCCCCTCCTCAACGTCCACTTCAATCGCACGTGAATTATTACAGTCCGTGAAAAATCGCGAGAATGGCAAATTTCTTGCAAAATCATGTGTCACCAATGAGACAGCCCATCAAACACCATTTTATACAATTTTATATTTAGAAGGGTACTCTGAAACTTGTTCTACTTTATCTTCAAAGGTTCGCTGAAATGTAAACCACAAAGCGCGCGGGAAAGATTTTTAAGGGGCAGAACTTCTATTATCTCCTTCCTGTTCGTTGAATTTAACATAAACAACAGATCAAAAGGATTGTAAAAAAATAATTTTCTAATTTTGTCCACGTTCGTTCGGGAGGTATATTTTTGAATGCAGAGAATGAAACTAGTTTGACTAACTCGCGTCGTAATAAATAAAAGTGTACCGTTACCGACGTACGCGAGCACGTGGATCGTTAAGGGGGACAGAAAGTGGAGTTAGGCCCTTGTTACACTAGAAAATTACACTTTTACGCACACTTTCCGCACTTGTTCTCCTCGCGTTCACTCACTCGACGAGACGCAGCCGACAAAAATTCGCACAACACAAAACGTTCTCACACGCACGGATATGAGTACCACATTTTGCATTTCCATTGTTTTTTTTTCTTTTTTTTTTTTTTTTTTTTTTTTTGCTTTTTTTCTTTATAATGTGAACGCAGCGGGTTTCTCTTATTATATCTCTTTAATTAAATTTGTTTCGCGACGACCCCCCCGCCCCCTCTTCTCCCTGAACCGCCCACTTTTCTACGATTATATCAAACGACGAATCGTACCGTGAAATGTTTATACTTTTTCTTCTGTTTCTTTTAATTTTATTATTATTTCCATATGCTCGTCTTTTGTACACGTAATAATAATAATAATAAACTATGCGACGCGTACCACCAGTGTACAAGCGTCTATAAATATAATGTAAATATTTAATATATATATATATATATATATATATATATATATATGTATGTATGTATATATATATATATATATATATATATATATATATATATACATCATTTA